AAAAAAAAAAAAAAAAAAAAAAACACCCAAAAGAAGAGGGACCCCTATTCTACCTGCTTTGAGAAGGATCATGGGTCTCCTTTGGCCTTCTGATTCAAACTAAAAAACACTGGTTCACAGGTTTGAAGCCTGCTGGCTTTCAGAATAGAATTAAGACCCTCAGTTCTCCAGCTTGCTGTCTGCAGATTCTGAAACATCTCACTTTTATAATTACAAATTATTTTTATAAGATTTTTATTTTTTTAATTGTGTGTGCGTATGTGTGCACCTGAGTGCAGGTATCCACAGAGATCAGAAGAGGCCGTGGAATTCCCTGGAGCTAGAGTTACAGGCTGTTATGAACCACCCCACAATCACACACCCTACCCCTTACCGTATGGTGCTGGGAACCAAACTTGGGTGCTGCTCTTAACTGCTGAGCTATCTCTCCAGCCCCCACAAATTCTTTATAAAACAGTCCTCACTTAATCTGCTTCTGACCCTGCTTGGGGGTGGGGATGGGGGCAGGGTCAATCCTTTCTTTTGATCTTAATCAACCCTGCAGCCACCAAACACCTCTTTAAACACACCAAGTCTGCTCCTGCCTTCAGGCCTCTGCACTGTTTACAGGAAGGTCTTTCCCCCCAAATCCCCAACTCGTGTCTGTCTGTCTGAAATCTTCAAGTCTTCGTTCAAGCTTTGCAGTCTCCTTCTAACAGACCCCAACCCCTCACACTCCTGATTCCCTCTTAACCTCCACTGATGGTTCCTTTTTCATGGCACAATTTAATAATGGTAACTACTGTATTTCACAGCACTCTCTAACATAGTATAAAATTTACGTATTCGTTTTCTCCAGCTGCTAGAATACAAACCTTTGCTGCTTTGTTCACTGATATATTCTAGCGCCTAAAAGAGCGCCTGGTACATATTAGGCATTTAAGCTGCTGATTGAATATGCTGCCCTGTGGATGCCTTATTAAGGTATTAAGTATAAAGCCCTGTAGGCTGGGCGTAGTGGTTCACACCTATAATGCCAGCTTTCCGAAGGCTGAAGCAGGAAGATTAAGTCGATTTAGAGACCAGCCTGGTCTACATAGTGAGTTCCAGGCCGGCCTGGACTGAAAAGTAGATCCTGTCTCCAAAAATAAAAAGTAAAAAATAATATAGCCCTTTTAAAAACGCACTTTGAGAGCCGGGAATGGTGGCGAACACCTTTAATCCCAGCACTCGGGAGGCAAAGGCAGACGGATCTCTGTGAGATCGAGAACAGCCTGGTCTACACAGCAAGTTCCAGGCCAGGTGCGGCTACAGGGAGACCCTGCCTCAAAAAGACCGAAATAAGGCGTTTGACAGTCATTATCCCTAAGCCTAAATAAACAAGAACTGCGATCTTTGCGCTGCTCTATGGTGCCATCTGGCGACCCTATCGTAGAGTGTCTAATGCGGTCCCAAGTTCATTAGGAACCACTTCGCCTGCTTCTCACTGAGTGCACACCGGGCGGAAATTAGAACGCACAACACCCCCCCGTCAGAAATACAAACCGGCCGGAAATGTCAGTACCCCGAGAAGTATCACTAACCAATAGGTATCAAGATCTAGTCCATGTGGTGCCTATTCAGCCTATCAGCTCCCGAAGATTGTCCAACTCACTCCCTTCCGGCGTAGGTTCCCTCTTTCTCTACAAGATGGCGACCCCAGCCGTTCCAGCGAGTGTGCCTCCCGCCACGCCGGCGGCAGCTCCAGCCTCGGCCGTCACCCCAGCCCCGGCTCCGGCCGCGCCAGCTCCAGCTCCAGCGCCGGCTGCGACTCCGCCCGCAGCCCCAGCTCCCGCCCCGTCCTCTGACCCAGCGGCCGCCGCAGCCGCTCCAGCCGCTCCGGGCCAGACCGCGGCCTCGGCGCAAGCCCCAGCGCAGTCCCCAGCGCCCTCGCTGCCCGGGCCCGCCCTCCCCGGGCCCTTCCCCGGCGGCCGCGTGGTCAGGTTGCACCCGGTCATTTTGGCCTCCATCGTGGACAGCTACGAGCGACGCAACGAGGGCGCTGCCCGCGTTATCGGAACCCTGCTGGGTGAGTGATGGGGAAACGGAGGTTCCTGCAGTTGACCTTACTCCTCTCCTAGCTGTTGGACCCGGTTGATTCTCTTTTGCACCTGCCTGCTGCGTTTGTCTTCCAAAGTGACTTGAAACCTGCCGGATTGCGGTTATTTTGAGCGACTTAAGATGTGCGAGAATGTGAGTTATTAATAGCGTTCACTGATTGATCTACATGGTATGTGTATATATTTATTTTTTGGCAGCAAAGTATGATGAGTCCATTCTGCCAAAAAATGTGCTCACATACCAGCAAGAAGTTCTGAGCCCTTTACTCCTTTAAGAACTGTACCCGTGGAGCTGGAGAGGTGGCTCCGTGGTTAAGAGCACTGGCTGCTCTTGCAGAGGAT